TGTGCCTCAGCACTAGACATTTCTACTTCCCTCTGTAAGCTTTTACAGCCTCCTACTTACGGAGACAAGATTCTTTGTGTCAGCACCTTGGAGAAGTGTTGCTGAAGCAATTGGCACGCAGACAGGAGCCCCGCGCACGCCAGCCCCTTCAGAACCTACCTGAGTGTGGCCTCGGATAGAAGGGGCCCAACTGGCCTCCAAAATTTGGTGATGGCCAGGGAGACAAATGTTTTCCTCCATAGAAGTGAAGAGGCTTTGGCTTAAAAACAAAACAGACAAAAAAAACCCAAAAAACCCTGGTTCTTGATATTTACATTAAGGGGACAAATTTGGATCATTGCTAGCAATGTTCCTCAAGCCAGCTTGAGATCTAAAGAAAGTCACAGTTAAACTGCTCCGGCCAGGACAGGTGATGCGGATCTGGAACCATGGCAAGGCTGCCTCATTAAATTATGAGCCGATCATTCTTGATTTATTGTTTAAAAAAAGCATGAAGGGCCAGTGGACGCAGCCCTGCGTGGGTACTCCGTGGCACCTGTGGCCAACAGCAGTGCTTTCACCCTCAGAATGAAGAAAGGTAGGTTCCGAGTCCTTTGATGACACTGTTCCCTTTCCCGCTTGTTTATTTTTATTCTCCCACGCAGACTGCAACCCAGCAGGGGGCTTTTAAACCAAAACAGTTAATTACCTCCTCTAACCCAGAGAAGCTGCACAACACACTATAGCTACTTGCAAGGGAGAGGGCAGCTTTCCTTGGGGCTGTGCTTTGCACCAGGTGAGAAGGGAGGGCGAGGGAGACCAATTAGAAGGCCCCCGGGAGGGAGGGGGACCAGCATGTACTTGCACGTCTTTTTCATAGCACTGCACTTCGAACCCCCAGGCTCAGAGACCCCTGTGCAAACCCCTGTTCCAAAGACAGAGTTGAGTAGCGTTGGGACTAGAGCCCTCTCCTGATAACAGCGCCTGCTTCGCACTCCAGGGATGCCCATGGGCAGGGCAGTTTCAAGCAGCGAGGAGCTTCTCCACTTAGTGCTCAAGAGACTGCAAGGGACAGACCTGCCAATAAAAAAGGCACTTTCTCCACTGAACTGCAGTGCGTGGCCCACCTCTCCCGTCACCCCTGCCTTCCCCAGGTGAACAGGGCCTGAGCCCTTTGTTCCTAAATTGTGGGCTCACCCCTGCCTGCTTTGGAATCTCCCATCTTTCTGTCCATTTCCTGGCACCAGCACCGTCCCCAGCTAACCTCATATGTCCTGACCATCTGCCATTGCATTCACTCTCTCTTCCTGCTTCAGCTCGGTGCCCATTTCTGGCTCCCCGCTGGGTCCTACCCCTTCTCCTCCGCACCTACTGAAATCTTCAACTCTCCTGCCCCCCATCTCAGCCTGAAGTGCTCCCTCCCACTTCTAACCCCGGGTCCCTATTGTCTGTTATTTATTTCACTTTCGATTCTGTGGGCCTTTCATCACCACAACTAGATGACACATTCCTCTACTGATGTAAATAACAATATAAAGTGATCTCCATATCTTTCTCCACCACTCCCAGCCCCAGCACCTCTGTAGTGATGATTCTGCACTTGATTCCTCTCCTACTGGTTAACATTTTTTAAATGCGCCAGACCAGGGACATCAGGCAAAATCTGGGGATGGTGGTCAGGAAATTTTCTTTACAGAATCAGAATCTTAAAGAAAAGAACAAATCCTGTCAATTATCGAAATGTTTCCAAGTATCTGACGTTTGGCCTTAAGTACGTAAAACACCCACTGAGTGACGGCGTTGTTCGTTGATCCTCTGAATCCTGCCCAGCACCTGGACGTGCTAGTAGGTCCTCCGGGAGAGCACATCCCAGGAACAAATCTCCTGCTCCTTGTGCCTCTGCTGCCCTGCCAGAAAACAAAAATGATAACATTGCCCCACTGAGGCTGTGAGAACAAGCAATGAGTGAGAACAAAGAAAACAGTACGAGTGGGAAGAACCATGAACTTGCAGACTCCAGAGCTCCACAGACAAATCTGAGCATGGCGGTTATTACTGGCATTGAAAAAGTCCCACACAGCTGGCCAGTGTGTCTCAGTGGTTAAGCCTTGACCTCTGAACCAGGAGGTCATGGTTGGATTCCCTGTCAGGGCACATGCCTGGATGGTAGGGCACAGGGGATCATGCAGGAGGCCGCTGATCAATGATTCTCTCTCATCATTGGTGTTTCTATCTCGCCCTCTCCCTTCTTCTCTGAAATGAATAAAAACATATTTTAAAAAGAAAGAAAAAAGTCACCACAAGCCTTTACTTTTTTAAAAGCTGCACGCAAAGTGTACCTCGAAGCCGCACTGCTACTTCATAAAGTTAACAAGAAATGTAAAAGGTATAGGCAGCTGTGCTGTGAGGAACATCTTCTCAGCCCTAGCTCAACGCTTCCCTGTGAACTTGGATTTGAGGCCCCTCAGAGGCCATGAGGCTGCCTGGCAAGGTTCTCACAAAAACACAAGGCCTGTCCCATGCAGCTGAGGACACAATCCATCAGG